TGGGGGGGGGGGTCCCACATCGATTGGAGAAGGGAATAAGTGCCAGCGAGGACGCTCGCCCCGAAGAGGAGGGGGTGGATTGTGAGATCCCACATCAGTTAAAGAGGAGAACGAAACATTCTTTATAAGGGTGTGGAAACCTCTTTCTAGCAGACGCGTTTTAAAAACTTTGAAGGGAAACTCTAAAGTAAAAACTCAAAGAGGACAATATATGCTAAAAGTGGGCTTGAGCTGTTACAACGAAGCTACCACAGTCATTTGTTTTCGTTTTCAAATCCTTGTTCCGAGATGACAAACCAACTAGTCTCGAAATTTGGTTGCATCTAAATGACTTAACCAAGATCTCCAAATTCTTCTTGATCTTTATGGTTTGGTTGGTTGTTGCCCTTTTTAGACTATGGATAGATGGATTTAGTCAAAGAAATCAATAGAACATAACACACAGAATTCAACCACCCCCACCACTGCACCATGACTTACGCCACTTTGCCACTACCATCAAAACGTTCACATATGATGTTCTCTTTGACTTAATATCAAAACACTCGTCTTTAAAATATTCCCTACAACTTTGAGCCATGAGAGAGAAAAGGAGAGTGCATTTTTTTCCATATAAAACAAATTACATCTATTAGGCGTTCATCTTTAATGTAATTAATATAAACATGAAAGAAGCATCTTTCTTTTATCTTTTACATTGTTGTTGATGGCTTCTTTGAGTTGCATGTACGTGAATTTGATAAATGCACTTTTTGAAGACACTTTGACCCACCATTCACCACCATTGCCATTTTCATCAAAGCTAAATGCAATTCCATGCATGTTTTAGGCGCTAAGATCCATATCCATATCGATCCCATCTAATCAATACTTGTTCTCATAAACGGATTTCTAAAACTATAATGAGTTCTGTTAATTCTTCAAAAATAGGGGATGAAATAAAGCTCGTCGAGGTGAATGTCGAACATTGTCAAAGGCGGACCCCTGCCAAATATGATCTTGACCATCTGGGCGACTTGGTTAGAAAACAGTAAGGTAAATGCAAGCTCACACGGTACAAATTGTTAAATACTTTAGGAAAGCTTTGACACACCTTCCCGTGTGGAAGACCATTGACATTTCTTCATAAAAGTAATGCAATCTTAACTAAGTTCCGCTCTATACCAACTTGAGTTTTAGAGTATATGCAGCTAAGTACCACGTTGGTGCGAGATTTTATGGAAATTTTGGATACCAACTAGAGCTTTCTTCAAACAAGCTCTAACACACCATGCGATCTTAAGTAAGCTTACTCTAATCCAAATTCAAACGGAATACTAATTTAAACTTTGATGGGTACGTGGTCGTGGACAAATACAAACCAATTAGGGCTACCTTTGAACGCCTCAAATTGCACGTCAACCACGTGAACATTTCTTTTCCAACAAAACGTTGTTATGGTTGAAAATGGAGACTTAAATAGATGAACTATGATTATAAGTTAGAAGAAGATTATTGGAGGCAGCATCAAGTCTTGGCTGAGATCACATATTCTGCAACAGCTTTGACAAAGGATTTTTTAACCCATTCCACATCCTTTTGTCAAATTTAATGATAACAGATTGAAATTTTTTTTGGGTTTCTTTTTATGGTTTGATTCCCACTCTATGCCCATAACACACTGCATTTTCCAACCATGCTCTCCTTTCTTCCATTCTCATGACTTTGAAGAGCGTCGGTTTGGTCCAACCACTAGCACTTTTTTTTTTTTTTTTTTAAGATCGTCGAAGCGTTGTCTTTTTTAACAAATGTGAAAATGAAAGATCGAATGATTGCCCCGTCTTATCAATTGAGATATATGCTCGTTTTGAATTCTATGTTTATTTGTAAACTAAGTTTATAAATTCCCGTTTCACCTATGAATATCTCTCTTTTGTTGTTTACTTTTAAAAATGCATTCATAATTTAAGTTAAAAGTTCGAAACACGCACAACTTACAAAGATAATACATCTAGTCGATATCAAACGAGATTGAAGAATTTGTTCCAATGATTCGATTCTAATTTTTGGTACAACACAAAAAATACCCTCATTTTCTTCCACTCCTTAGTGGCTTTGAAGTTGTGCATTTACTCTTACCACGGCTTTTAATATTTTTTTCATAAATTGTTGAATTAAAAAGAAACTCAACATAGAATCATTTTACAAAATATTCAAAGATTGATTATAAAAGTTACTCTAAAAACCGATCGATAAAGAAACACATTTGAATTCTAAATCAAATTCTAAAAATAAAGAATGTTCATTCAGATTTCAATATATATGTTCGGCTTTTGAAATCGTCGGTAGAAAGTTGATAAGAAAATGAAGAAACTTATAAGTGGTTAACAAACGTTGGTTGAATCCTCACTCCACATTCTAGAACCGAAAAGCTCGTTCAAACGACAAAAATGAAATGGAATCGTTTCATAAACATCATGGAGAAGAAGTATTTCATGCAAAATACAGAAAGAAAGAAAGAAAGAAAGAAAGAAAGACAGGATCTTTTATACTAAATGCAATAAGCTTTTGTTCATAAGCTGCTTGAAAGCCTCATCATAATGGCTCATAAAAGCATCAAAAAACAACACAAACACAGAGAAAAAGGAACAAACTTTGGGATTCTAGACCTCATTTATTGTCATTCCCAGTTAACAAACTCATTAATTTGCATAAGAAACTCACCTTTTTGTGCGTTGATGATGTTAATTATACTGAAACACAGCGTTTTAAGTGCCTGGCTTTGCCCTGTGTGCCTCACCATTCCCTTTGTCTACATGTTTCACAAGTCAGCCAAATTGAGCTCTGAACTGAGAGAGACAAAAAACACCCATTTTCAGAGGAGGAGCAGCGGCGGCGGCAGCGACCGTGGCGGAGGCGGCGGCGGAAGAAGAAGAAGAACTACGGTGTTCCTTGTAGAGCTGAATATTAAGAAGATTTACATGCTGTGGTGCTGCTGAGAAAAGTGGTTCTTGATGGCAACAATTTATAATGAAATTAGTGGAATTTGACTGAGACTCAATTTGAAGGTGATGATGATCAAATAATGAAGAAAAAAGGTCTGTTTGGTGAAGAAGAAGAAGATGAAGAACAATATTGATGGGGTTCTGAGTTTGGCAATACCAATATATAGAAGTGTTAACCAGTTGTGCAATTAAAATAAGCAATAGTTTGACACTTAAAAAAGAAAAATCGAAAATCTTTTAATCTCGATATACGGTATCACAGTTCATGATCTAATAATAGGAAAGCCGAAGTTCTTGCTCTAAGACCAAGACGCGTTTAGAAGAACGGGCAAACATGTCTATATAGAGCAAAGGAGAAGCTTGTAGAGTTTTCTCGACGTTTTAGAAGGGAGACGGGCTTTTGTCTCAAACTATCACGAGGGTGTTTCACGGTCGCAAAACTCGAGCTTTAAGACTAAACTTATAATTTAACGAAAAACGCTAAGAACCATATTATAAAAGTAAAAGAATCGAGATACGAGACGTTAAAAACTAAAACATATATTCGGTCGCGTGGATAGTGGGTAACGAAAGGTGATGCGACCAAAAATTCAACAGGAAACTCATTGCTAAATGGACTAAATTACTGAAACAAGGGAGGAGGTGAGGAATTTGGAGCACTTCCACTAGGAATTTTATTTAATTTTTGGAGAGATAGAACTCTGTCGGTCAAAATTTCATTGATATATGAAGGCCTCAATCGCTTTCACTATGTCTCAGCGTTTGCTTCAGATATTCAGATTACACTCATAAGTTATTCAACAAATCATTATTGCCCCACTACTCTTTTCTTATAATATTATCTTTTATTTCCTTTTTTGTTCTTTTCCAATTAAGCATTAGATTATCTCTTTCCAATTCAAATAAATGAAATCCAATTAGAACACCATTGATGAATCTTTTAAGCATCACAGATATCTTGGGATTGTTTCAAGCTGAAAGATAAAACAAGAACATAGCAGAAAGAGAGGAGAGAGAGAGAGAGAGAGAAAGCAGAGAGAGAAAGAGCAGAGAGCAGAGAGAGCAAAGAGGGAGCAGAGAGAGAGGGCAGAGAGAGAGAGAGAGCAGAGAGAGGGAGCAGAGAGATTACAATCAATAGTTTCTGTATCTACACAAATAGCTGGTAGATTACAATCATTTTAATAACATAATCATTTTAATCCAATTAGACCACCATTGATGAATCTTTAAAGCATCACATATATCTTAGGATTGTTTCAAGCAGAAAGAGAAAACAAGAACATAGCAGAACAGAAAACCTGCAGAGAGAGAGAGAGAGAGAGAGAGAGAGAGAGAGAGAGAGAGAGAGAGCAGAGAACAGAGAGAGAGCAGAGAGCAGAGAGAACAGAGAGAGAGAGAGGAGCAGAGGGAGCAGAGAGATTACAATCAATAGTTTCTATATTAACACAAATAGCTGGTAGATTACAATCAATGGTGGAGAAACACCAAAGCCAAGAGTAGTTTGATCATAAATCTAAAAACTCAATCCCAATTTACTCCTAACAGAGATCAAAAAAGAAACAAAGAAAAAGGCATAAACACACGACACCTCTCTCTTTTCCCCCACCATAATTAACAAAAGGGTTGATGGATATGTAACAGATGACTAAAGAGGTGGGTGGGGATGATGATGATGATGATGATGAAGAGGTAGCACTCAACTCACCAGCCAAAAGCAATGCATATTAGCGAGAACCCCAACAAGCAGGCAGCCAAGGGATGCCTGCCTGCCTGCCTGCCTGCCTGCCTATGATGAGGCTCTTGAAGAACAACGGTTATGTGTTATGAAGTCATCATAAGTGCAAGCAACTATTATCATATCAGTGTACACAAAGGACTCTTTTTTTTCATTTTTTTTACTTTGTGAATACTAATTATATGGTGGTGCATTTGTAGGTATAAAGAATGTGGGCACTTGCAAAAAGACTAGAGAACGACACACCAAATAACACTTACTTGCCCCGAATGGACCGCCTTTCGTTCGTTCGTTCCTTCTTTTCTTTATTTTTTTTGTTTTCTTCGGCCAACCGCCTTTCTTTCGTTCTTTCGTTCATTCGTTCCTTCTTTTCTTTATTTTTATGTTTTCTTTCGCCAATATGGATTGATTCACGGTGGGATGGATCGGGCTCTTACTTATCCCTCTCTCTATCAAGCTATTGAGGCCATACTCAACCTGGTAAAAAGATGAAGAACGCGCAAAAAAACAAAGAAGAGCAGTATAAAGACGAGACGAAATATAAACAGAGCTCAGAAGCAGCAGCATCGAATCGTTCTTTAAAAGGAAACGTGCCTTATCACCGGGTTCTGGATGGTTTTAGACTGAACCCCACCTCCAGGATTTAATGCCATCTCAAGCACAGCATTTGGCTTCACATGTCAAACCAGAAGAAAATGAAAACGTGCAAGGTATTAGAGAAAAGGATCATCAATCAAATCAAATGTGACCAATAAAAGGAATGAAAATCCTCACCTCTGGCTCCATATGCATGCTATCTCCATTTACACAGCTATTCTCCAACTGAAGTTCGGAATCTGCCTCGCACGAATCAACAACCGGTGTTTCTGGGTTGTTACATTCATCGGCGCTTCTTTCTATGCTCCCAACATTGCCTTCACTACTACCTGCTGCTGATGTGAACCCAATATTCTCGCAGGAACTGCTTTCACTTGTTAAGGTAGTGACCACACTGGAATTAGACGCACATCTGCGATCGATTTCTGTACAAGGAACTTTGTCTGGTTCAAATATCTCTGCAGTAGACCCTTTATCACTCTCTACACTTCTAGATTCTCTCCCTGAAGAACTGCTACCAATACTAGAGCCACGAAAAGCCAACTCTTCGTTTTCCTTAGTGATATTATTCTTCTCGTCAATAGTTTTAGTTTCAACGTCAGCTTCCGGACACTCAGAAGAACTATTTGAAAAATGACTGATATTAGATGAAACTGAATCCTGCTTTCTAGGACTAATAGACCGTCGCTTTTGGGGATGATCACGCTCCCCCTCGATTCGAGCGGGATCATTTTTTCTCTTAAGGTATTTTTCACCACTGCCACTCCTACAATTATGTATATCTTCATGATTTGGCCCATCAGAACGTTGCGAAGAGGACAACCTTGAAGCACGAGATCGTCTATGACCTTCTGGAAGCACAAAAGGAGGAATCTGCCTTCTACGAACATGAGAAACAAAGATTTCCATTCCTGGTTTCCAGAACATGTACGTATTTATATAATGCTTGAATTCATCAACTGACGAACGTATATCGAACTGCTGGCCTTCTTGAAGGACCTCTCCCTGCTTCCTCTGCAGACCCATGAAAAACGCACAATGGGCACACGGCTTGGATGTGTCAACATATTCATGAGGATACGGATGACACTGTAACTTCCCTTCAGTCTTCCTCTCGATCTGCAGACAATTACAGAAACCATGGGCAAAGGGAAAATATTTCAATAACCTGAAATTTTAATTTAATTCAATAATAGAAATATCATCACCATGTTTCATTTAAATGTAGAAAGATTACCAATAATGTCAAGTGCCTAAGCCGAGATTCTACCCATCCCTTCCAACTGCGTAGATCGTCTGCATCAGCTGCTACTATATCAACTTGCAAATAGTTTTTGTAGCTTTCAAAGAACAAATATGGCTCAAAAAGTGAACTCCACTGCGCTTTATTCAGCTCAATTTCCTAAT